GGATACTTGTTTCGTCCACTGCTTTTGCGATGATTGAATATATATTTTGAATAAGGTCGGAAATAGTCAACATCGTTTTTTAAGCCCCTTTGTTATTGGAAATGATTCAGATATAAAGTTTTCTTCTTTAATGACTACTACTACTACTACTACTTGTCGGTTTATAAAGTTCTCTGCCGTTTTCCGACTTCCAATCGCCACTTAGTCCGGTTTTTCCATAGGTCTTCTTCTATGGTCCTCCCTCGCAGTTCTTTATTTATTTCTTCGCTAGAAATTTTTCTCGGTCTACCTAATTTTCTCTTTCCTTCTGGTTGCCATTTTAGTATTTTTTTAGCATTCGTTGTTCATCCATTCTTTGTATGTGTCCGAACTAGTTAAATTGTTTTGTTATTAGGTCATCTTTGATTGTTCGTTTGACTCCCAGTATTTATATAATGTGTTCGTTTCTCTTCTAGATCTTCCTGCGGCTTTTCTCCAAAAATCCATTTCCGTGGCTATTAGCGTTGCCAGAAATAAAAGAGGAGAGACTAAGAGACAAAAAGTAGAAATGAAACTGGGAAAAGAACAAGCGGTATTTAGAGCAGGGAGACAGACAAATAAGAACATATATATATATATATATATATATATATATATATATATATATATATATATATATATATATATATATATATAGAATATATATTATTAGGAACCTAATAGAAAGTAGCATCGACACGGGGGAAAACTAATATTAGCATTCATAGACCTAAGAGCAGCATTTGACACGACAGGAGAAAGGCAAATTATAGAGAAATGCTTGAGGAAAATAAATGTACCAAATACATTATTAAAATTTATAAAAATTACTTGCAATGAGGTAAAAGAAAGATTACAAATAACGAACTGATAAGAAATACTAGAGTAATAAACAATCAACTACAGATAATAATAGAATACCACAGATAACAACCGGTAACAAAAGGTCCTTAATGTATGCGGAGGACACAGTACTACTAGCAGATTTCAAGAATAAAATACAAAAACTAGTGGATATATGGGTAGATTAAATAGGAGAACTAAAAATAAAAATTACCGATAAAAGAAGGCAGATAAAAGTAATCAGTGGGAAAGAAGATAGATATGATAATAAAATGAAAACAAAATGTAAATCAGAATTGGAAATAGTTACAATTTAATAATACCTGGTAAGTATAATTACTAACGTCGAAAAATAAAGAAATAACAAACAGAGCAAAAAAATTAAACAAGTTGTACTATGCTTTAGACCCAATACTTTGAAGAAAAAGAAACATGAACTTACAGGAGAGATAAGGATAAAATATATAACACAATAGTTAAACCGACTGTGCTCTATGCAAGTGATAACTTGACAATTCTGGAAAACCATAAGAGCAGGATAAATGCAAAGAAGAGTAGTTAGAAAGACCGAATGGGATTAATTAAGCAACGAGACTATTAGAAGAGACAAATGAACTGAATAGAATTACAAGAAAAGTCCAGGAAGTTAAGAATACTGTAAAAAGAAAAAGAATAGACCAAGAAAAAATAAATACTGATAAACAAATAGGAAAGGCGGGAAACGTTAAACCAAAATCAAACAAGGAATTAAAAATAATGGCAGAAAATAGAAAAAAATTGAAGAGATATTCTAATGGAAATTTAAAGAGCTAGCCCAAATGCGACACCGTGATAGGGTAAAGAAAAGGGGAAAAAATAAAGAAAAACTCTATTTTTGCTGATAACTCTTTTGATAACGTTAAGTGAATGAATCTTAAATTTTATAATTAAAAAAAATTATTTACTTTTACTGCTTTAATACGTTAATACTGAATTTTTTTTATTCATCACTGACTTTTTCGTATCTTAGTGTAATCATTTCAAGTATTTAACTCAGAATCAGACGTAGTTTATTTTGTTAGAGTTAGACTTCCACAGGTCCTAGCCGTCCACGTCAATCGTGCACAGAAATGGGCACTGATTGGATAGGAGCAGCTGGTTGATATCCAGTCGTTGAACTCACGTGCATAAGATGTCATTTTCATCGAGCTGGACCCCTTTTGCTTTGTTGGTTATAAAATGGCCATATTTAATCTCATTAACTCTAGTATTGCTTATGTCCTGCAGAAGCAGTTCAAAACAGTATGTGTATATGAGAAACCGTTTTTTAAGTGTTCTTTCGCACCAACTATCACGTGTCCGTCGTCGTCAAATAACTGTCTAAGGGCCGGTTTCACCAATAACAAATAAATCACTGAATAGTTATTCGTCGAATAAAATTTATTAGTAGAATAAATTTTATTCCGTTTCAATAACTATTTGTAATCCACAGTTAGTTATTCGTCGAATAAATTCAAAGTGTAATGATTTTCCACAGACTGTACTCGTTGACACCTCTCTTGGCCTTCACCTCTTGGGTGTTTGGCCAGGCACATCGCACTATTTTCCACTGTAATCATATACATAACATATAATATTTGATATTGGTTGATTAATTTGTCAAAATAATAATAATTGTCAATGCCAATGGCCAATACATATTTGAAACGATCCTGTTGCATAAAAACGAAGAGCAATTAACAATTGATTTCGCACATATATTGATCTATTTTTGTTGCTTACAGAATGCAATTGGTTACCGATCAAATTTAATAAATGATATTTGGAATTTTTTGATAATCTAAACCTAGTTTTAAAGTCCACATCATCAAATTCAGCAAAAGGGTTACTTCTTTGCAGCTGCCAGCAGCGTGGTCTTCTCCTTCACTGCTCATTTCCGTCATCAGAGGATGATGATGATAAAGATAATATTCGAAAATAAGTATATTTGTATACAAAATTAAATTGTCTAATATAATTACGTTTACCTGCAATACATTGTTGATAATGTCAAGTTAAACTAATGAATTTTCCCTATTATTGATATTTAATGTGAGGTTAGCTGTCAATTTATTCGTAGAATAAATATTTGTTTGGACGATATTGGACTAATAACTTATTTGGAGTTTATTCATAAAATAAGTCTTATTTGACGTTGGTGAAACGCATATATGTCAGTTTTATTGATCGAATAACTTTATTCATTGAATAGACTGCTATTTGTCGTTGGTGAAACCGGCCCTAAGTCTCATTCTGTGGTTTGTTTTCGCAGGCCCTATCGGTAGATTTCCGCATACTGATATAGTTTCTCTATGGCGTTGCTTTCAAGTACCCTGTTGTTATTTGGCACGTACACTTTCTAGAAAAGTCTTGACTGTAGGTACGACATTTTTCCGGGCATCCCATTTAGTGTAGGTGGGTTTGCAAAGTAAGTTTTACGGGGTGTTACCTTCAAAGCGGTCTTTTGGCAGTATGACATAAGTTTAGCTTTGCTCTGAGCTACATTTGATGCTCCGCGTGTTACAAGTTAGTGTCTGTTCAATCTAATTATCGGCTTTATTTTCGTCTCTCTCGATCGTGGGTTGAAAGATCAAACTTGGGTTCTGGTGGGGTTAGGATCTAGTAAGTTCCTGTTGTAACTAGTAAATTGTAAGGAATCGAAGTGGTTCCTTAAGCCTGGTTTCGAGCAGTTCGACTGTTCTGTTCTGTACTGCAAAAGAAATGCTGTCAGCATATAAGAAGTGCTCGGAGGTTTGAACTATTGGTTAATTGTTAGTGTATACGTTGGTATACACTTTGCCAATCTCGGTTGACATTAAAGAGATAGTCATCTAATTGGATTGTCATCTTATCTGTAAAATTAAGAAAATGTACAAATAAACATGTTTTGAGTTATGTAATATGTAACTTAACCTCCATCAAGTACAGGTAAATAGGTACTAAGTTGTAAAATATGTAAAATACCCTACATAATTTTTCAGGAATTTCGTCAATATCCATATTTGTCTCTGGGGGCTTAATATATCATTAACCAACTAAATCATCTTTATAAGTGATTTCCAGATTTTCAGCGAGTGTAAAACCTCTTTCATATTAAAAATAAAAATTAAAGAGAACAAGCTATTAGTAATGCTATATGGCAACGTTAAAGTTTATCCTATTGTATCTACAAAACAATTTGATCAAATTTAAGCTTGAATATCTTTAAAAATTATTTTACAATTTAAATAGGTTAGAAACATCTACTTAAAAATCATTTCCGAAGATAGTAGGTACAATAAATTTAAGCCAGTAGGTTGAACAAAAATATAATGCCGACAAATATTCCGCGCGCCAGCCGCAGTGACCATGTCACTGCGGCTGTCGCGCGGTGGAGGCTTATGTGTCAGACGTGGAAGGTTGAGCTTCGAAAATGTTTCTAGTGATATCGTTACTCTAAGTACAAAATGTCGTATGTAAAAAAATTCAATTTTTTTTTAATAGCGATAAACATTGCTCTTTATGATTTGCAACCGCTGGCTAAATGTCGTATGTCATCAGTTGATTTTTATCAGTAGTTATAGTAAGAAATCAAAAAGTCGTATGTTTTTACAACTGTTTGTTGTACCTGCAAAAAGCCTTATGTATGGAAGTGTTGACCATGAACTGACAGTGAAAACGTGACCCGTAGATAATTGTTTGAATCATTGTGTATCAGATTAAAGAAACAATATTTTTTACATATTATTTTTCTTATAACGGTTTTAATTGTTATTAATTTTACATAGTTGTGCTATTTTAAAGTGAAAAGTAAAGATACAACCGTTTTAACTAGGTGAGTATTCTTAAATTATAAAAGTGTATTTACGTTTAGAAAGTTAAGAACAGTTTTTATTAGCTTTAGAGGTGATATATTAAGAGGCCCTAGTTTTAGTACAGCATTTCAAATGTTTTGGTAGGCCTACAAGGTGTACAATTAATAACTTATCCAGTAAAGCATCCTTTAGCACAGTAAATAATGTAATACTTGGAATTAGCTACAATTTTTATGACTTTTGTGGGCCTAGATTGCCTATAATAATAAATAACCTATGACATCTATAAGGTTAATTATTTTGAACATTACACATTGTTTCGGAAAAATGCTGCCAAGGGGAAAAAAGATGGTTGCCTTGGTGTCAAGGAAAAGTGCGCTAAATATACCTGCTGCTGAAAATAACTTTGTGTAAGTACAAGATGAAGGGCGTTGCTTAACAATAATTTAACAAAAACATAAAGTACATTAAATTGAGTTTTCCATATTGAGCTCACAACCTTGCTAAAAGATTATAGCAGTATATTATTCCTTTTTCGTTTGTATTTCCATTAAATCAAAAAAAAAATAAAGCACGCAACATAAATTTATTGTTTTTATTCAATTTTTGTTTTAGAACATTGCTGCAATCAAAAAGCACTCCACCTATTCCTGGTGTGCAAATAAGCAAGATACCACATGATAAAAATACTACTAAAGGGACCTTATTAGCTGCTACTGAGGTCTGTGAAGTGAATCTTCGTACGCCTGCACAAGTGCAAGAGAATGACACTACTCGAGATTTAGCGTAAGTTCTACTGCCAAGTATTATTCTCTTGAGTTCACTTAATATCGCAGTTATTTCAACCATAATTAAGTTATTAATCAGATAATATTATAATAATAAATAATAAAAAATAGAGAAATAATTGTCTATAACACTAAAACACTTAAAAGTAAAACCATAAATTTAAATTGGTTTACTACTATTTCTAATTTTTAAGTAGATCCACCTGCTAGTGATGAATTAAACTTACCCAGTACCAGTAAACTAACTGATGTCTGTGTTAGCAATATACACCATGTTAGTATGCATTAAGAATCTACTATTACAGGACAAAGTAGTCCATTGGTACCTGTCATAGTGCGAAAATTGGAATTTGAACAATCTAATTTTACATGTATACATAGTTCAAACATTCAGACAATCGAAAGGTCTCATAGATTTACCAAATAAAAAGGCCTGAGAAAAAGTTAAATAAATGATGGACGTTTCTAATGTAGGCGTGACTTATGACTATTCCTCAGCGTCTGAAGATGACTACCAACCTTTATCAAGCACAAGTGATGAAGAGTAAAGTAATATTGCTTCTAAAAGACAAAAGCTTAAAACAAATACAAAACTTACTGAAGTAAAACATAAAACTAACGTGAAATCAAAACGAAAGAAATAAAATAATTCTGAAAAAATAAACAATTCACAAGAAAGTGATTTTGTTACACAAGAGGAGGCTCAGTCGATGGGCCTTAATAATAGCACGTTAAATTTGCCTTTAACCAAAAAGAAGAGAAGGAAGGAGAAAAAGGTAAACCCAAGAGATTGGGAACAAACTCTTAATACAGCAAAAAAAAGGAGAAACATTTTTATGTCTAAAAAAACAAGACAACGGCTAGTACAAACTTTTTATTGCAAGAGAAAAACGAATAATGAAAGGTCCATGTGAATGCAAGAATAGGCTTTTTAATTGTGATAAAGTGAGTGAAGCTAACAGGCTTCAACTTTTCACAAATTTTTTGGAAAGGAATTTAAAGTTGGAAAGCAAAACAAGCTACTATAGTGTCTTTGGTAGATAAATCTACACCAGAATTTCGACAATCAAGTACTGTTTCAGAGAACTTGCGTAAAAATTTTTCTTTTAAGTACCATTTGAAAGTGGGTCGATAATGCGAATATGTAAGAAACTGTTTTTAAATACATTCTCTTTAGGGGAAAGGTCTGTACGTTCTTGGGTTACGAAATCACCCCTTGATATACCTATTCTTGGAGAAAACCATGAAAACGTAGAATCTACAAATAATATTGACTCCAGTGTTCAGACGCCATCTAGGGATGACACAGAAAAAAGAATGGGAATCTATCAGTTTTTAGACTCTTTGCCAAGAATGGAATTGCACTACTGCCATGCTAAAACAAGCAAAGTGTATTTAGAACCAATGTGGGAAAGCAAGAGTAAACTTTACAGAGAATATGGGCGTGTCTGCCAAAAGCAGCAACTTCAACCAGTATCAAAAGTTCTTTTTCATGTAGTTTTTAAAAATAAGAATATTGGGTTTTTTCTTCCTAAAAAAGATCAGTGTGAGATTTGCCTAAAACATAAACTGGGTAAAATAAGAAACGAAGAATACGATGATCACCAAAACAGGAAAGTTGAACCCAGAAATAAAAAAGAAACAGATAAAGAAAGCGCTGAAAACTCAAGTGAAGTGCAAGTTTATGCTGTTGATGTGCAAAAAGTTCTCCAAATATAAAGGCATCTACAGCCTATTATAGAACAAAACTTAAAGTTCACAATTAAACTATTTATAACTTGGCAACAGATGAGTGCACATGCTATGTTTGGCACGAAGGTAATGGAGGTGTAGAAAGTGATGTATATGATGCTTCAATAATTGTGAGGTTTTTGAGAAATGAGTTGGAAAAATCCAAGTATCAATGAAATAATTATTTCGAGCGATGGTTGCACGTATCAAAATAGGTGTGAGACTGTTTCAAATGCTCCACTGTATTTCACTTGTCAAACGGGAGTAACTGTATATTAAAAATATGTGGAAGTGGAACACACACAAATGGAGGTAGACTCCATGCGTAGCAAAACAGAAAAAAAGCTTAAGAACAAAGAGCAATCCGTGAGCAAAGAGCAAAGAGCAATACGTGAAGCAAGAACCCATCCAAGCTCTTACTGTGTAGAAAGCTTATCTTTTAAGGATTTTCTTTGTTTTTAAAATGTATACTACAAGAGTATAAGGCCTGGTTCAAAAAAAGGAGACCCTTATGTCACTGACTAAAAGGCCTTAAGTATATACAAGATGGCCATATTTGGTACAAATTAAACTTTTTAGATAACTGGTTAGAGCTACCGAAATATCTACCAATTAAAGACAGGAAGTACAAAGACTTACAAGAATTAAAAGCTTGTCTTGAGGAGGACTCCCACTTTTTTTACGACAAATTGAGTCATGGTAACTAGACAAAAGTTTTACTTACTGCTTGTTATAAAAATGAGTAAAAGTTGTGTAAATAATTTTTTTTAGAATGTCGCATGTTACTTTATTTCTTTAAAATTATAGTGCAAAAAAAGTCTACATGAAAAAAGTCGTATGTAGAGTTATAAATTAAGTTGCATAGTATCGTATGTACAAAAAAATAACTATATCATATAAATTTTGCTGTGTAGTCAAAATCATTTTAAAAGTAAAGACTAAAAAGATAAATATTTTTTATTCCCATGTTTTAAAAAATGCATTTAAAAGTAAATACGTTTTCTCTACCTCCTGTAAAGTACGCTAATTTTACATACAACATTTTGCACTTAGGGTAACGATATATACGATGCACATCCGTTTTGTTGATACTTAATAAGCTGCTACTATACCAATAAATCTTTAAGTTATTGTTTTTTAAATGAGTACTTTCCATCGGGTTCTGAAAATTCATTTTCCCTCAGTAAGCATTCAAACCCTAAAAAGGCCAGTACACTTTTTAATTACTGTTATTGAAAATATTGCACCTTTAATAACTGAAATTAGTGAGCTTTTTACGTTAAAGTAACAAACTGTTTCATAACAAACGAAAACAGTTGAAGCAGAAAAAATATAACGTTTTTAAATGATCTAATTTTGTATAATAAGTTAACAGGGCATAATTTTAATCAACTGAATCATTTAAATGTGGACTATTTCAGTCTCGTACTAAAAAAAATGTAATACAAAACATTATTAAAGTTGGTACGTTTATTTAACGTTTAAACACACATAATAACTTTAGCGAAATATATGAACGTTTTATCAATATAACCGTCATAAAATAAACAAAATTTATATAATTATATCCCGGTTAATTAACTAGAATATTTATTATCCATAATAATCTATGTGCATTATACAAAATGCCTGACATGAATATAATATGTTTATTAATTTAAATTTTAAGTTGAAATATGTTATTGGCTTTAGCTAGAATCATATACTATATTAAAAGTGTTGTGAAGTGATGGTTGCCGTGTATTATAGGTTGCATAATAGAGACTAATTTTTAAACAATCTTAACAATTGCATCTAGTTTGTAATATAATGTAATTAGTACAGGCATTAAATACAAACCGTAATAAATCTACGGTAATAAATATGAATGTTGCTAATAAGCGTGATCTCAGTCAGAGATGTGTTGTGTATATACATAATATATACTCTGGATCAGTGTTTAAAATATCGTTAAACAATCGTAGCGATGTCAGCAAAATGTGTGCTAAAATTATAAATAATATAAGGTACCCAAATAATATCTACGATAATCGAAGAACGTATATAAAACCATTAAACTCTGTTAAACGGGGGAAATATATATATATATATATATATATATATATATATATATATATATATATATATATATATATATCCGGTTTTTTAGGCGTTACGCCCGTCCGGTAGGGATCTATGAAGGAGTATCACCGAGCCGCAAGCCCTTATCTCTTGCTGTACTGCTCCACCATAGGCCGATCAGATCCCAGCATATTCTAGTCTAAGCCGCAGATTCATCTAGAATTTTAAACTGCTGCGTTAGACTTTTTGTTTTCTGTACACCGATCCCACATCCACTGAACCATTCGACAGTGAAGCGAATGAGAGGCAGCCGCACAGCCCGCTGAGCTATCTGACCGACTAAACGAGGGAAATAATGAATGTAAAAAAATTGTTATGTATGAAACGAAAAAGGAAAATTATATTGGCTACATGGAATGTACAAGGACTTGGAATCAAACGAGCAGAAGTATTCAAAGAATTATCAGAAAGAAAATATATATAGGTATTCCCACCAAGACCAAGAAAAAGGAAAAGGAAATGAAGAGATAGGAGAATATGTGCATATCTACAGTGAAGTGAGTAGAGATAACAGAGCTAAGAGAGGAGTTTCTAATGCCATTTGAGAAAATCTTAAAACAATATTAAATCGTGGACTGAAGTAAATGAACAACTGCTTTATACTGGAAATGAAAAAGAATGGGTACAACATCGTAATTGTCGTAGTGTATGCCCCAAATAAAGATGCAGATCCAGAAAGTAAAGAGGATTTCTTCAACAGGATGAATGAAATACTATCTAAAGAAAACTGTAAAATCTTTATAATAAAAGATTTAAACGGCAGAGTAGGGAGAGAAGAAATATAACAGAGTCATAGGAAGATATGGGGAACAAATAACCAATGACAACGGAATGCGTCTTAGAGATTTTTGTGAAACAATTTCTCTCAAAATTATAAATGAATTTTTTCAACATAGTGACACCCACAAATTGACATGGACACAACCTACTGGAAATCTGCACTCGATAATCGACTATGTAATCCAACGTCAAACTTCCCAGCTAAAAACAACTGACGTAAGGGTATGCCGTGGATCAGAATGTGGATCCGACCATCGTTTACTTATGGTCAACGTGATAGTTACCTATCGCAAAAATAATAACATTAAGGTACAGAATATAGAAAAGGGACAAGAAGTAACATCCCCTAAATATTACCTAGAAACATTAAAAGAAGATTCAACGAAATTTCTTTACAAATTGGACTGGCCACAAAAGGACAAAATGTGGATCGAGAAAATATATCAGCGGAAGAATTATACCAGCAACTTAAAAATGTATTCATGAGGTTGCAAGTAAAACTTTGAGGTATAAAGACATGCATAAAACAAATAATCAGGAATGGTGGTCGGAAAATATTCAAACGTTAGTAAACAAGAAGAAGACTGCTTATTAGAAATAGATGTCAACGAGAAAGGAGGAAGATTAGAAGATATATCATAAATTAAATCGAGAAATGTAAAAACAGAAGTAGTGAAAAGTAAAAATAGGAAGTGGGATCAAAGATGTGCATGTGCATGTGTGGATAGGTATATGGGTGGAATAAGAGTTGGGCAATCATGGAAGGTGAAGTCTCTCCGGATGGAAGGAAAGGAAAAATCTACCTTACAGTTATTAGATCTGAAACAGTGGAAACACCATTATAAATATTTACTAACAGAGGCTATATGTAAATACCAAGAAATCAAAATAAAAGAATTATCTGAACATACACAAAGATTTGAGATAAAAACTGGATAGTTAAGCAATGCCCTTAAAAAATCGAAAAACGGTAAAACAGCAGGACCTGGAGACATCTCAATTGAGTCGGTAAAGTGTTGACCAAAAATACATGAGATGTTTGTTTAACTATTTATCAAATGCTTAAAAGGATAAAACAGCCCTAATGGTTGGAATGTTGTATGCATCAGCTTAATATTCAAGAAAGGGGATAAACGAAAATGCTTTAACTATAGGGAAATAACTGTTATCAGCTCAGTGCGGAGGTTGTAGGATCGAATAATAAAGAAAAAAGAATCAGAACACGAAGTCATATAGGAACAAAATGGATTTTGTGCAGGAAAATCGTGCACCGATGGTATACTCGTTCTGAAAAAGTTAATCGAGAAACGGAACGCAATGAATCCATCTACCCACCTATTGTTTGTAGATTTAGAGAAGGCATACGATACGATAGGTACCTTTAAAAAGTAGGTCTCAGTAGAGAGTATGCGCTATCGCAAATATATACAAAATTGCAAGGTGTCGTTAAAGAACACTGAAAGAGGATATGTTTTAAAGCATACCAATGACAAACATATTGCTCCATAGTTGTCGTAGTTTAAATGTTCGCCTTTCTTGTATATTGGTACGATGATGTTGTTCTGCTAGTTTTTGGGAATAGTTTTACGATTTCTGGTTTAATTTTATAATCTCCACCTGCCTTGCTTATTTTTATATTTGATAATACCTGTTTTACTTTTTCTTTACTTCTTTGCTTTAGCGATTATGTTTTTTTAGCATTAATTGATTACATTCTCTTCCTTTATTACTTTTTATAATATTCTTTCAATACCCTATTGCCTTTTGTATTCCTCCCATCGTGTGCCATATTGTCGTCCAAAAGCTTTTACTACTTGTTACAAATCCTTTTTGTAGTTGTTTTCCAAATTCTTTTCATGATTTTGCTTTTGTTTTTGTGACTGACTTTTTTACTACTCTTCTCTGCCTTTAATATTTTGCTTCATCTGTTTTTAATCTCGTTTTGATGTACTTTTTCCTCGTCGTTTTTTTCTTTTTTATTTCTGCCTTCACTTTATTCTGTCACCATTCCCTTCTTTTCAGCTGTTTATTGCATTGTTTAATTCCATAAACTTCGGTTGCTGTTTTCTCTAACACCTCACTGTAAG